TAGTATATCTATACATTTTAAGTAGACATTTATAACTGAAAGTATTAGTAGACACTATCCCCAGGGGGATAAAATTACAGGTGATTTTTGCTTCCCTCTTTGTGATTTTCCTAATTTGTAAAATTCACTATCAGCATTGATCTTATATGTAATGTTTGAAATTTGTAGCATAGTTAAAATTTCCACATTCTAGAGGATCTATCCATCATTACGCGAGAGTAGAATCCACACTACTTACCCAGAAAAAGCCTGGCCCTGCCCTTGGGAACTGCCTACTTCAGCCACCACAGGAGGATGTGGGTACCTTCTGTTCAGGCATGGCCTTATTTGGTTCCTCAATTTTCATAATAAAATGTCAATATTTCCTACAACTCAATTGCTGCTGAGGTTCAACACAACTTTCATTTAACTGTCAACAAAGAATAGCTGCAATTTGGGTATTTATCAGAGAAGTCTAACTTGAATTCAGTATTATTCTCAAGACACTGGGAAAAGCAACTGGTATGGAATATCGCCTAGAGGACATGGTATTTTATCAGGATTTCACATAGGAGGTGCTATTGGCATTCTGAGCAGTTAAACTTGGTTGCACAGAACTTTTGTGCACACTACCAAGGGCCTCGAAGACAGTACAACTTCAAACACCTTTACACCTAGATGCACGTTACTGGCATCGTTATAGATTTGCTTTTTCTGCAGCGCGCGTGGCTTGATGACACCAGCTGACACAAGGTCCTCTGAACTTGTTCCTCTAAAGGCACTCACTATATTTTACCATAAAAGGTCATAGGAGAAATAAGTCTCTGGTCTCAGAACCAAGAATAGTTGCATTCCCTTATCATCTAAGTGGTTGTCTATTTCTTCTTTGCCTTGGTTTGCATATTTCATTTTATTTTTGTCTTATTGTGCTGTAGATATCTCTATAAACCTCCTTAATTTTTTGTGAAAATAGCAGAGAATAAATAAGTGTTCAGGAAATGATGACACTAAAGAGATGGCTGAGAATAAGACTAAGCAAAGAAAGATACCTTCAGCAACAACAGGAAAAAAAACAATACAAGCCAAAGTACAAGGTCTGTGAGGGTGATGGGAGGTTAGGAGATATCACAGTGGATGCGTAAAAATACCAGACTCGGGAATCAGAATTATGCTGAGTGTAAAATAAGTCAGACAGAAAAAGACAAATACTGTATGATTTCACTCATATGTGGAACCTAAAAACCAAAACAAATGAACAAACATAACAAAACAGAAAGAGAGTTACAGATACAGAGACAAACAGGTTATGGTCACAGGAGAGAGGGTTTGGGGCGAGGAGAGAAATAAGTTAGGGAGACTCAGAGGTACAGACTTCCAGTTATAAAATAAACGAGTCAAAGTTATGAAATGTACAGTGTGGGGAAGACAGTCAATAACTACGTATGTGTGTATGTATGGTGCCATCTTAACTTATTGTGGTGATCATTTTGAAATATATAGAAATACACTGCGTAACAGGAACTAATAGTGTTGTAGGTCAATTATGCTTCAAAAACAAACAAACAAACTCACAGAAAAAAAAATCAGATTTGTGGTTCCCAGAGGCAGGTGATGGAGGAAGAGGGCATTAGATGAAGGCAGTCAAAAGGTACAAACTTTCAGTTATAAGATAAATAAGTACTAGAGATGTAATGTACAACTTGGTAAATATAATTAACTCTGCTGTGTGTTATACATGAAAGTTGTTAAGAGAGTAAGTCCTAAGAGTTCTCAGAAGAAGGAAAATTATTTTTCTATTTCTTTGATGTTGTATCTATATGTGATGACGGGTGTGCACTAAACTTACTGTGATAACCACTTCATGATGTATGTAAGTCAAATTATTATGCCGTACACCTTAAACTTATACAGTGCTGCATGTCAATTATTGATATATCTCAATAAAACTGGAATAAAAAAAATCAGAAGAAGTGGGTTTGGGTGCCGACTCTGTCACCATCTAGATAAGTGATACTGTGAAAAAACAGGCAGAAGAGAAGCTAGTCTAACAACTTCAGACACAGCACAGAGGTGCAGGAGGCCAGCTCTATAATCATACTACCTGAGTTTAAACCCTACCTGCATTTACTCTTGGGAGACTTTAACAACTTAACCTCTCTAAAACTCGTTTTTCTTATCTGTAAAATGGTAATGAGAATAATGACCTTGCAATATGATGGGACTTCAGTGAATTTTTTTCTCTAGTATCATCAAGCACTTTATATGGATTCACAGATGAGGAACCTGAGGTTCAGAAGAGGTAAGTGATTTACCCAAGGTCACAAAGCCAGTACCCAAGGTCACCTAGCCAGAGCTATGACTGGAATGCACGCAGTCCTTCTCCAGATCTGCACTCTGAACCACTATCTAATATTGACGTAAAAGGAACTAACCCATGGAATGCACTGAGCACTACGCCTAGCACACGGTAAGCCTTTAATAATTGTTGGCTTCCCAAGCAAATGAAAAGTGCCTTCCAAATAGATATGATTTTAAATATCATAGAAAAATATCCTATATCTCAAATATGGTATTTGTTTAGGTAAATGTTATCAAATTTACAGATGATACAAAGGAAGAATGAAGAATTAATAATCAATTTAACAAGAATAATCGGAAAGCATGAGAGCTGAGCACAAAGATTTATGTATAAATATGTTCATCACAGTGTTGTTTATCAAAGTTAAAAAAGGAGAGAGTTCAGTATCCAAAAGTAAGAACACACACCGACACAGACAAAAAACTGGATTAAAATATGACAGAATTTCAACATCAGTCTTCTTCTGGTGATATGATTTGTATGAGTTTTCCTATTTCTTTATTACACTTGTCAGTTGTCCACATTTTCTACAATGAAAATATGTTGCTATGCTAATTTGAAAAAAAACAAATATTATTTTTAATTGAAATAAGTCAATATAAAGCCCCACACACAACTTTCACAAATTTACTTCATAGAAATAGTAAGATAGGATCTGTCTGACAGCAAATCTTCCTTCAAAGACCTACCTGATAAAAGTTGGGTATTTCGGTGGTCCATATCCTTACTATGTCTAAGGTGCTAAAAAAAATTTTCAAACTATTTTAATATGTATCAGTTGGAAAGTGCACAGATTATAAGAAATGCATGCTGGTCAAACATTTGTAGAGTTAATGTATTCAACTCTAGGGACCAACAAAACATTGACCATCTGGATGGGATGGTCATGAGGGATGTCATCTGGAAGAAGGTTACATGAGTTCCATGTCTCTACAAATGGGGTAGTAAGAAGCCACAGGGCTTAGAAAAATCTCGTGCCCAAAATACAGGGGAAGCTTTCTTAGCAAACAAATAATCAGCAATAAATCAGGCTGCTCTCTGAAGGAACAATATCTTTCGCTGTATGTGAATCATGTTGCCTAAAGCCCACTGGAGAAGAGCAGGGTCGCAGCGTTACAAATGAGGAGCTCCCCTGATGTCAACCACCTGAAGACGAGGACCAGGAACATACCAAGGCGAAGAGCCCTGGTGAACCCTTGGAGATGGACCTCTCCCTTTCTTGCTCAGTCTTTTTTTTTTTTTTTTTTGCGGTACGCGGGCCTCTCACTGTTGTGGCCTCTCCCGTTGCGGAGCACAGGCTCCGGACGCGCAGGCTCAGCAGCCATGGCTCACCGGGCCCAGCCACTCCGCGGCATGTGGGATCTTCCCGGACCGGGGCACGAACCCGCGTCCCCTGCATCGGCAGGCGGACCCCCAACCACTGCGCCACCAGGGAAGCCCTGTTGCTCAGTCTTAAGGAGCCCAAGCCAATAACCTGGTGAATGTTAGGATGGCACCCTCCTTTCAAAAACAGGCCAAAACCTGGGAGGAAAGAAATCCAAGTGAGGGGCCTGGGAAGTTATGCCAATCCTTTGGGACTAACGATAGAATTAGATGGGGTCTTAAATCCCTGAGAGTAATCCAGGTAGAATGTGATCAGGAACCCTACTCTCTGTGTCACTTTTCTATATTTTGTTCTCCACATATATTTGCTTCTGTTTGCCCTTTAGTATTTAGCAAAGATTTGCCAAGTCCCAGGCTGCCCCATCTCTCCTAAGAGAAACCAAGAAAAGAGGTTTCTGCCCACATCTGCACAGGATTATTAAGTCCATTATATACGTAAAACGCTTTACATATATGAACTCTTTGATCCTCACAACTACCTATGAAGGAGGTACTATTTCTATCCTCCTATTACAGATGAGGAAATTGAGGCACAGAGATGTTATATGACTCGCCCAACATTCCCAGATAGTCACGAAGTGGGCATTCAAAATATGAACACAAAAGAACTTTCATTGTCAGAACTGTGGTTATTCTTTCAGGAAGGAATCACTTTAAGCTGTTTGATATCATTTAGTAGCAATTTATGTATATGCTAAGTGTTATGAATGATTTTCTTCTTCCCCCTCTCCCCTCTTCCTCACTACTCCCACCAGCTCTCCTAATCATGCTTCTATGCATGCGAGGAGCTAGGAAACACTAGACAGCATTTTGATTCAACACACATCCAAAAATACAGCTGTAACTGTCACAGTCTAAGAAGTGCGCTGAAAAAGAATTTATCTGTCTGTGATTAAAATTATAAGACTATTAAACTCTAAACCCAGGCAATGTCCTAGAGAAACAGAATATGGTATTTTTGTGGCTAACTGTTCACCAATTAAGAGGAAGTATGTTTGACTTTAACACTGAGGAAGATAACTCATGAGGAAGTTAGTAATTAATAAATGGGTTTTAGGAATGGTGACTTCCCTTCGCTCTTAGCAACATCAAAAGCAATAGCTCCTTGTGCTTTTAGGCTGATCTCAATTACTTGTGTTTCTGATTTTGCATAACGTAGCAAAATTATTCTTGCCGTTTTAAACCAATCATGAATATCTTGCTTTTGTTTACTTCTCTTTAATGTGTTAATTTCACCATATATAATGAAAACACAGGAAACTCTAGCAGCCGCACGTACCTGTGATCCAAGTGGTGAATGGAGAAAATCACTCCGGAATTTAAATGGGTCTGTTTTAGGGTCACCAGAACAGTAAATTCATGCTTATTTCTCAGCTTCTGAAAAAACTGTTCAGCTGTAGCAGTGGATGCTTTTATACTTCTGGGAGTATCTAAAAAAAGAAACATACAGTAAATAGACTAGAACTTGGCTTTATAAAGCATTCTTCACAGGCAACATCTTTCAGAAAACGTTATCAAGCAACTGCTGATAAACACTGAGCTCCAGACTCCTGGTAAATTGGTTCAGAAAGACTTTTTGCTACACATAACACAGGACAGTAAACCACATGAATGACTGAGCTTGTGTTTCAGAGATCTTTTTTCAAAAATGTCTTTGAGGTGAAGAATCAAAGAGCCCTGTTTGAAAAACTGAGCTCCCAAGTTTTCTCCTCACACTCTTCCTAAATCCTGGATACCACAGCCACGTCAGTGTCAACATTGAACAAAAGGATGTCCTTCCGAGAAAAGGACCTAAAAAACCATGATAGAGCCATTTAGCTTTTCTGACACCTCGTGACAGAAAACTGGATTTAAATCAATGTGCCACCTTCCACATTGATATCTGTAGCCAGAAGGCTTGCTATAAATAGATTTTTTAAAAGATCATTGAAATTAGTCACTCTCAGCCTTCTGTGCAGTGGATGAAACATTAAGATCAAATTATCGTGCCGTATTTTTGAAAGAAATGCACAGAACTCAATTCCCACGTCCCTCTCCCCAGGCTTAGAGAACACCTAGACAAGAGAGATTTGAGTGGGAGAGCAGATTTTTATCCTGCACTTTCCTGTGGTTTAGTCATGCACTCCAACCTCAGGACCCAGAGGACATGGGAGAAATAGCCAGGGGTAGAAATGGATTTAGTGGACAGGAAAAACCTGTCATTCAAGCCGTCCGCTCACAGAGCATAACGCTCTCCTATTCAGTGTGTGCAGAGGGTTGATGGGAGCCAGAAACACAGTTTCTGTAGCTATCAAATCGTTCTCCTCTTTTCTGTGCTTTAGACTAGACAGACTAGACAAGGAGTTCTCAAGGGGAAGCTACTGGCATTTGGAGAGAATAACCCTTCCTGTGGAAGACTATCCTATGCACTACAGAACATTTAGCACCCCTGGTCCTGGCCCAATGAATGCCAGTGGCACTCAGTCCTAGTCATTGTGACAACCCAAAGTTCTCCCACACATTTCCAAGCATTCCCTTTGGAACAGTGCAGCAGAAATCAGGTTGAGAACCACAACCTTGATGAAACAGAGATTATGAGATTAATCTAAAGTTCCCCACCTTTCCAACCACACAAATTTATGGAATAAAATTGTAATCACCTGGTCTGCGTCCATCACTGGGGATGCATAGACATGGAGAAGCCCTCAAGATACCCATAAAATGGAGGAGGGGACAAATAATCCCAATAAAACAAAAGAAACGCTGTCATACAGGTAAGTACAAAGTGGTGTTGGACCACAGACGGAAAGTAGCCAACATCATCTGGAGGGCAGGATCTCAGAACAGAAGGCATTTGCTCAGGAGTTCGCCAGGTAGAGAAGAGAGGGAAACGCATTCCAGTCATAGAAATAGCTTATGAAAAAGCAAAGAGATGTGATAGGGCATGACATGGCTGAAACAACAAGTAGCAGCCATTGCAGGATGGGACTCGGTAGGAAAGCTGAAGAGGAGAGGCAGGGCTTTGTGTGCCAATGTAATAGACACTTGTTTCTGTCACCATCCTCAATTTACTCTCTAGGTAAAAAATAAAAAATAAATGATAATAATTCTTATCTACCACTGAAAAACGATCCCTCCCCACTCTTAACCCATGGCTTCCTCTGTGCTAAATCAGAGTGTCGCCTATTCCTGTCCACAGTAATTGATTCAGAAACAGGCACCTTAATCCAGGGCAATGAAGTCAGGCCCAGGATATTGGTTCCAGGTTTTAGGAAAAAGAAACTTCCTAGTTTCCAAAAACAAACTTCCTCAGTTCTAGTCAATAGTCACAGTTCAAAAGCGTAATAATAATCCACAATTTCAGCCATGGTAAATGTAATAGTTTCTCCCTAGATTCCACTAGAGAGAAGACAGGCTTTGCAGAGATGCCATCCAATTCCTCTGAGATCCAAAACCGTCTGCTCCCCAAGGAGGCACAGAAAATGAGACTCTGTGAGAAGGATTTATCTAGTGTTAACTTTTAATCCACTCCAATTTATATACAAGTGAATCATTCACAAACTTCATGACTTCGTTTCAATTCGCCAGATAAGAACAAATTAAAATTGAATTACAAATATCACACTCCCCCTCCCAGCCCTGCCTCGCTCCGACCCTTTTCAGGCAGGTAGAGCCTGAGCAGCATCCTTTGTCTTGCTGAACAGGGTGATAGATGGGGACATAAATGAAGGAAACTGAGGAAGGACTACATTAAATACAGGAATGATGATCAGAGCCACAGAGAGATGGGAAGGTGTAGCCCAGGAAGCTTGAGCTCTTATAGTGAGAGAAAAGAAATTGAGAAAAGGGTACCAGCTGCCTGACAAGGTGGAACTTTAAAGAAGAGATGCTTGAAGAGGAGTTGTAGAAAGCTTTGTCATTTGGTACGCAAAGAAAACTTTCACTAAATCTCTATATTATTCTCCACTGCTTCTGGAGTCAGATTTGTGAGAAGGGTTAGGAGGCTGTATTATTTGTGTGGGTTTTTATCTGTTTTGTTTTCAGATGAAATTACATGTGAAGACTGACCTTATGATGAAAAGAGGAAGGACCTAAAAAATGGATTACATTTGAGTATTGTTGGTAAAAATGTAAACCACCACGGTTGAAAACATGAGGAAGGCAAGTGTAGTTGAAGGGAAACCATTTTTTTTAAAGATTTGTCAATCTGCATTTTGGAAGAATTTCTCTGGTAGCCATGTGGAATATTTGAAGAAAGAAAAAAATCTGAACGTTGGGAAAACTCTCGAGAAAATGGCAATTCAGGTGATTATTGACTTTTTGTTAAATTTCACATATTTGAAATATCACATTTTGACATCCCTAAACTACCTTTTCTAAATCAAACTGATGTTTTTGGCTTTCACCAGGAATCGTGATACAGAACTACTTACTGGTTCTTTCACTGCCTGTCAGGCATGTTGATGTGAGAAGGGCCAAGTGAACCCCAGGTGGATATCTGCATTGAGATGCTTAAGGAAGTGCTTAAGGAGACCTGCAGGGCAGAACCATCCTCCATCCCACCAGGGTGGTTAAGTGTGGTCCCAGAGGGTCTCCATACAGCTTATACTTAAGTCTATTCACTTACGCAGGGTCACAATTCAGGACACGCTTTCTCACCCTGTCCAGGCTCTCCTCCCAGCCCATTACCTTCCTGTTTTGCTCCCTCTGTGGTGGTTAGAGTGACTTGCAGGAAGAAGGGACCCTCCAATACCAAACATGTCCTACAGAAGCTCCATTCAGCCTATGCTTTAGGGACAGGAAAAATGAAATTCTTTTCTTTCCATCCTGATTAACCAAGTTCACTTGTATAGCGGTTTAAAAACTGGGTCTTGCATGAATCTATAATCCCTATGTGAAGACAAATTACTGAATGAGGCAGAGAGAGCACCTCTAGGAAGTATACTAATTTTCAGCTTTCTGTCAACAGAACACCATCTCCCACCAATCCTTACCTCACCTTAATGATATTTAAATCTATTGTTCCCCCTTAAAAACATGTTTTTCAAAAATTTATTATGCCTGCGTCTGGGAAGGATTTGATGGGAGCCTGAACTCTGTGAGTAGCTCAAAAAAATTAGGGAGTATAATCATTTTATTATTATAGAATTCAAGAGATTTTTAGAAAGCAGAATCTAAAGAATTTTGTCACTGATAAAACATATGCAAAAGGCAAAAACAGGAGAAACAGGAGAAAATTGAATCCAAAGTTTCTAGCTTGAGAGACAGAATGAAAGGCAAATGCAGTAGGAGCATGATGGTACCCAAATGGGATTTCAGTTTTAGAAACGGTCGTTCTGAGGTGTTCTGGAATGTGCATGTGGACATGTCCGGTAGGAGGCTGGCACTACAGAATTTGATCTCAAGAGAGAGGTCAAGGTCAGCAGTATAAATGTAGAGGTCATCAGAATACAGGATCTAAAGTCATAGGCATGCCTGAGTAAATCACAGGAATCACAGGAATGAGAAGAGGATAAAAGAATGGACCGTAAAAACACTAAATCTGTAGCACAGCAGGGACAACATATATAACTTTACACGTGTACTATACAATGCTGCACGTCTAGCACCATACAACATTTGTCCTTCAAAAATGTATAAATAATGTATTTTCCCCTTTGAACCCACATTCCATTTTATTCTCACAATGCTTAACAAGGACAACTATTACAATTCTGTGATTCACCCAAAGGCACCAGGCATGCTAGAGGTGTAATGGGGATGACAGTTTCGGGTCCAGTATTCCTTCCACTAAATTGCCCTGCCTCCTGAATGTGGCATCCTTATCCATGCTTAACTGCCACTCACAAACAGAAAGGCAAATTCGGGAGCATCAACATAGAAAATAATCCAGAAAGAAGTAATTATATAACATAACATTTTTAGTTCCTTAAGTGACTCGCTTAGTAGTGATTTTAAGAAAGGTCACTTTCCCCATTTGCATTTCTGTTTCCCACTTTGTAAAATTAGCACTCCTGCCTTCTATTTTCATCTCAAAGATGATATACCGTTCAGAGAGACTTCTGAGTTCCTGTGATTACTCTAAGATCCAACTCTAGTCCTCACCAGAAAGTCAAGTCAAAGAAACCACCACGGAAGAATAATTTTACTTTATTTTTGTTATCATTTCAGTTTTCAGAATTCATAATTAAATTCAGGTATGTATTAAGCAATTTCTCAACAAGGTCTCCTGTTAGGAACCACACATAAAAAATAGATGGTTATGAGGACAAATTCTCACCCCAGAAAAATAAGTTTCCAATGCCAGCTATGCAGTTGACTAGCTGCGCCTGCCATGTAGCAACACCACGTGTTGGCTTTTAGAATTATGCTACATATTATTATTACTCTCACAAGCAATGAGACTGTGGAACCCACTAAAACTACCAAGAGCCATTATACCCTTGTGGTG